CACTTTGCAAGCCATCATTAAAACGACATTTCGTACATGTGCCATGCTTTAATAAAAAATTACATAGACAAGTAAGTTATTTTTTAGAACAATTTTCGGATAAATAATTACTTTTAAAATATTAATTTGGAAAATCAACCATTATATCGTCCATCCATGACTTCTGGCTATTATATCTACTAAACTCCCATTGAAACTAATAAAATATTGGGAAGTTGACATTATTTTTTTGGTAGTTAAGTTGACATTAATTAAATATATGATAAATGTGTGAAAATATAATCAATTTGTAGTATTTGTTGTCAAACCTTGTGAAATATGTCGTCCTTACATTGTCAACCTTTGTATGGGAACGTTGATGTCCTGTCCGATATCCACTCTACTATTTATGTAGTTAAAAGTTGTTAGAATTTCGCATATTAATTGGAGGATTAATAGTTTTTATATTATACGAGTTAATTTTATTGTATATAGATATAAATAAAGATATGTGGAATTCATATGATATCATATAAAGAGAAAAAAAAAATTTCAGTGTATTTAGGAAATAAAAATTATTTTCTATAATATAAAAAATATTATTCCCATTCATGGGATAAAGCAAAGAAAGGAAAAAAAGAAAGCACAAACTTGACCGCTGAATGTGTTGGGACTTGAGAGGGAAGACCTGAGAGGTGAAACACAAATCCAGGAAACCTGAAAACAAAAGAAAAAAAAAACATGGGACATGGGCAGAACACAGCTTGCATTGAACTTACAAATAGGGTCTTAACGGGTCGAGTTGAGCCGAGATTTGGTCTTAAAAGGCTAAGCCTGTGTTTAAATGTATCGACCTTACGCAGCCTGTTACCTGTTACGAATATAATTATCGGCCTGTGGCCTGCCTTATTTACAAAAATAAAAGTCTGATTTAGCCTGTTAGACTAAATATAGAACAAAATCATTCATAAAGTCTGTTTAACTCAAAAAGTCTGTTTAACTAATAAAATAGGAGTGAAATAGATTGAGAGGAGAGAGAGGGCTATTATAAATAGTATAAAAAATATAAATAAAAAAAAAATAATATACTAGGTCAGCCTAAGAGGCTCCAAGGTCGAGTTTCTGAATTGGAGCATGAAGCCTTTTTATTAAACGAGCTTTTATACAAGTCCAAGTCTGGTTCCAACAACCAATATTAGGCATGTAAGCTCAGGCCTTCACGAGCCGAGCTAAAGGCCCCTGAAAGGCCTCTGGCTCGTTTATCACCCCTACTTACAAAGTTATAAATATTATTATAGGGTTTGTTGTTTGTTATTTTAAATGATATAAGTTATGTCATTTTAAGAGAGAAAAATAGATACAAGGAATGAAAATCATGAGAGAAAAAGCGAGTGATTTTTTTTAATTTAAATTTTAAATAAAAAATATTTTCTTGTGTCTATTTCTCTCTTAAAATGACATAAGTTTATGTCATTTAAAATAACAAACACTTTCTCATTATTATAATATTATTTGTGGGACAAGTTATTTTTATATTATTATAAAAATAAATAATTTTATATCTATTTTTTATTATTGATCTAGTTGTATCTAGTGATTTATATAATTAAAAAATTAAAGTCTTCAAATATAAATAGAGTTAACGTTTGAGAGTGTAACATAAATGGATTTGTTTTTTTTTTTTTTTTTTTTTGGAGAATAATATAAATGGATGTTAAATGATCTTTACATGTTCTTTTTTACTTTTTAGCACACCATAAAGGAGAGATTCTTCTAACATGTATTACTGACTTATTATTATTATCTTTCACTGTAATAAAAATTTAATAATATAATATAGATACTTGACATTAAATATTATAAAATAAGTTTTTCTTACCTTAAAAATTCTAAGGGGGTGTTTGATTGAAGAGAATTTTTTTAAATACTAGGAAAATTTAATTATTAGGACAATGGTTGAAAAGTGAATTTGGTAGGATAATATAAAAAAGTTGTTTGGTTGACTGAAATATTACCAGAGAAATTTATTTATATTTGCAAAATCTATGTTCGGGAGAAATTTCGCAACTGTTTTTTCACTTCTCCAGTTATCTCAAAATATCACATCTCAAGTGGTATTCTGTAACAGTGAATTTCATCCAAAAATTAATACAAAAGTCATTTCTCCATCTATCCTATTTGTCTAGTATTTTTTTCAAAAACTTAAACTAAATGTATTATTTTTCAATATTCACTTATATTTTTTATCAATCCCAAAATAAATCTTCTACTAAACACTACTTAAAAATTTATGAGGAGCCGACGGTGATGTTTGTTTGGATTTTGGAAGTAGGTTGGTGATGATGCAAGGGCTCACATCACATGGTATGGGAAAGGAAAGAGAAGAAAGGAGTTATGATTTGAGATTCTTCAGCCTCCGCGGATAACTTGAATTCTTGAACGATGAAGTCTCCAACTAAGTAGCCAATTACCAATGATCTTGATTTTGACCACTGGCATTTGTGACGACCAGTACGGAGTCCGTACAAACGGGGATTTTATTCAATTAAAAGTTAATATTTTTTTGTACTGTGAATATAGATAAATTATATATATTTATTTTTAAAACGATATTATTTTGAGTTAAAAAATAAAAAATTATAATGAAAAAGATTATTATAATCTTAAAATAAATTATAATTATAAAAATACTTTAATTTTCTTCTCAAAATGACATTTTTTTAAACTCAATGTAAATAACTTATCTAAATTAGTTATATAGAAAAAATGAACTCATTTTTTTTTATAGATAAACTACTTTAAAAAATAATAATAAAATGACTTATAACCGTACAAAATTAATGAGAATCAGCAAATAATTATTTGGAACGGCCAATTTTTATTTTTATTTTGTAAATTTTTCTTACCTTTTTTTTTTTTGGTAAATAAATTTTTCATACCTTTAATTCCCCCTTTTTTCAAATAATTTTTTTTATGCCTTTTATACTTTTATAGCACCTCCGATGTAGCAGCTATCTATCATTTTCTTTACCAAAAAAATAATGACTTCACGTATTTCATATTTTCCTATTAATTATATAATTAAATTTATTAAATATATCCTTAAAAATATTTTTATTCAAATCAAACCTAATTAATTATATTTATTTTTAATATTTAAATTAAAATATTTTAGATATTACAATTAGAAAATATTTAGCGCGAGAGCTTAATATGGAGAAATAATTGCCTTTTTCCGAAAACTTTTTTAGAAAACTGAAAAAATAAATAATTATTCTAATAAGATAAACTGAATAACCCTACTCAATCCTATTATATAGAAAAGTGATCATGTAATCATGTTATCTGATCATAACCGCTTATTGACGATAAGATAAAAGAGAGAAAAATATATAATTTTTAAATGAATAATTGTGATAAAATAAAATGATTACATGATCACTTTTTCATATGAAAGAATCCAAATCCATGAGTTTTAATAACACATAAATTGTCAAACTGGTTAAATGATGTGATAACACATCATTAGATGACATCATAAAAAGAATTATACTAATAATACATAAATTAAACTATCTAGCTAGATTTCCCCGGGCCAGAAAATAAAAAAAAAAATTAAACTATCTACAAATTTTAATGAAGCCTATAATTTTTCAAGGCTGTGGCGCCAACATAATCATGAAGACATGAAACTCAAACTCTTTAACATTTCTGAACAGGGACGAAAACCCAGCCCGAAATAAAACTTGTTGGCATCGATCAATTTATCCTTTATAATAAAGATTGACCTTCCTTTCAATACAAAAATAATTTAAGGATTATATTCAAAGTAATAATGAATGAATCTTTTAATATATTTATCTTACGTGTGTTACTCACGTTCATAAATTAATTATAGCTATCATGCGGCTCAAGAAAGATAACATGATACATACTAGGTTTTCAACTATATATCGTTAATTGGATCATTGAAATGAAACTAATAGACAGGGCCCCCTAGGGTACGATCCACAAAATGATACATATATATATGCTGGGTTTTCTGTATAGATAACAATTCACTACACTGTGCTTATTTGTCATATTCGTAGCTTGTCTATATCCAACTTGCCTTTCTAATGATACCTCAATTGTTTCTCAATAGTAAACCATCAAATTGTAACTCAGTATGTAATTGGTATTGCCAGCTAAATTGAAAGAGTTAATGAGAGACAAACAAATTAAGATATGTTGTTCTAACTTGCTATTAATTTGTAACAAATTAAAGGTAAAATTTATTAGACCTAAAGGCAAAAATGATACCAATTGGTGATAGCTCAGTTGGAAGCAAATGAGCTGACTAAGTGGAGTGGGAGCTGAGTCAGTGGAGTCACACTGGGGTTAACTAGTGCCAACTTTTTAGAATTTGGCATGGCTAAAGGCTAAAATTTGACAACTATAGATTAGCTAAAAAATTTGGAGGCAGATATTTTTGGCACAGGCTAATATTTTTTACCTGATAGTAAGTTATGCTAGTGTTAACTTGTACATAATAAATATATATAAACACCTAATTATCTTAAAAGTTTACCCTTTTCATTCATAATCAGTTAATTGGAACTCAATAAAAGCACTACAAATCAACGCAACTCGGATTTAATTATAACAGAGAAATAAATAAAGAAGGAGGTTTTCACAAAAAAATAAAATAAAGGAGGAATACATTACAGAGTAGCTGTATACTTGAACTAGTACAACGCAGATGATTTAAAACAATCTTTATTAGTACAAACATTACTTGCAAAAGGTAAATATATAAGGGAAAATGCATATGTGCTATGAGGTAGAAGACATGCATAGCACAGAAAAAATTTGTGATCACTGCTATATTTATGGTATAGTATATACTGGCCTGTCTTTGCTATCCTGATTTATAAGAAACAACAACCATATATATATAAATATATGGTAGCAAAAAAAAAAAAAAACAAGGACAGGCTAGCTAGCAAGTAAAGTTCCAATTCCAATTTGGCAAAGGCGAATCAAAAGTTCCAATTCCAAAGGAAAGATTGGTGAGAAAAAGGGTCATCATCTTCAATTTCGCCCTCATTGTCCACAAAAGGGGTTGGTGGTGGTGGAGTGGAATACAATAACTCACCCGAGTGCATTCTGTCTAGCTCAGAATAGAGAACATAATCGGGGCCAACAATGGAGTGATCATCCAACACATTCAAAAATGTCCAATCCATTGTGTTCATCATGTCCCCTCCATGTTCCACTTGCACTGTCCCATCATATTCACACATAGTAGAAGAAGACGAGGAGGAGGCTGTGGTATAATTAGTAGTACTTTGAGGTTCTTGATTATGATCAATTGGTGGGACCTCCTCGCTGGCAAACTTAGCAGCAACCTCTTGAATCTCTTGTGGGGTAAGAGATTTGTCACCACCACCACCAGCACCACCGGCAGCAGCAGCTATATTGATATTCAAGTTGAAAGGTGTGTCAGGGAAATTGAAATTGGCATGGCGACCACGTAGACAATAAAGGGCAGCATCAAAGGCTCGAGCAGCTTTCTCAGGAGAGTCATGAGACCCTAACCATATGCGTTCACGGCTATTGGGAAGCCTTATTTCAGATACCCATTTCCCCCACTTTCGCTTTCTCACACCTTTGTATAACTTGTTATGATCATTACCAGAAGTAGTAGTAGAAGAAGAAGAAGAAGAAGAAGGGGTGTGAGTCTGATTAGTGATAGAATTAGAATCAGCAGCACCAGCCATGGCATGCTTTACCATCTCCATATTGTATACACATTTAATTATATGAAGCCTTGTTATATATATAAATATAAATATAATTAGTGGGGTTGAATTGAAGCAATATTTTTCAGGGTGTTGATTTTGAATGAAGGTCTAAACTCCAAACGTGTTGATCGCAGAGAGCGTAAAAAGAGTGTTAGCACGTGGCCTTATGATCCTAGCTAGCTAGAGACGGTGCATCACGTATTTGGACGCGGTAGGGCCAACTTTTTCTTTTTTTGTATTTATATAAATAGAGCACGTGGGGGAATTCAAATTGTGGGATGACGTTGACAACAAATTTACATGGCCCCCCCTTCTTTGGATTTTGAGTTCATGTAACGTTATTAGTGTACCACATCACATGTTTGTCCCACACTTCACACTAACACTGTCACTGCCAATTGCACCTACCATCCGGAGACTATTTTCATGTTAAATAATGTCATGAGAAATGAAAAATGCATAGAGTGGAAAAATAATAACTTAATTTGTCTTTTGGATGGAGGTTGTGTGAGTAGAGAAAATCATTTCAATCCAAAAATTTAAATTGTATTTATATTCATAGCTTTGATATTTATCTAAGGTTGATAACATATATGAAATATTGGATGATAGTAAGGATCAAACTCAAGGTTATTTAATCACGTTGGCCTAATATTATACAAAGAATCATTTTAATCCATAAGTTTAAACTGTGGTTTATATTCATGGCTTCTAGATACCATATATTAAATGAGATGATTTATTTCCAATATGTGGTCGGGAATATTGCAGCTTCACTTCTTTGTGAACGTGCCATGTATATGCATTTTTTCTGCCATCGCTATCCCAATGGGCAATGGCGGCGACGACCTTTTTGTTCTTGTGTGATGATTGATTGAACATGACTTTGAATCAATATTGGATAGGACGACTAGTAGACAGCAAACTTGAAAGCAGTAAAAAATATCGGGGTGTATATATGAATATAGAATAGCAATCGCTTCTTTTTGTTGAAATGTTAAATCAAGAGTGTGAATTGTGATCATTAACGAAAGTGGAAAAGATTTTTTATTTTTTTTTAGATATTTCAATCGATTCAAACGTTACGTAATTAGTTTGATTCAGAATGAGTTTTCAGATTAAAGTTTTAAATTCTTTCTAAAAAAGATATTGAAAATAATTGAACATATATTCTCAACTCATTTGCTAAGTTCACTGACATTAACCGAGCTACTATCATTTGATCAACAACCGATAACAATGGTATCAAAATCCTTTTATCCATGTTAAAATTTAGTGATAGACGTTGATATTATGAATTGTGATTCATGCTGGTCGGTTCAAAAACATTGAGGGCACAGTAGCACTTCTGCATTGAGTTTTGAAGGATTTGGATAAGAGGTTTAAATCATTCTTTAAACAAATTTTTGGAAAAAATTTGGAGATCAGAGGACGTGCCTCTCTTTTCGAATGAGAAATTAGTCTTATCTTTTTTTCGATAGTAAAGCTCAATGCACCCGCTGTTCCAATAATAAGGTAGCCTTCAGGACCGTACTTTGAGGACAAAGCGACCGAAGGAGGTTGAATGAAAATACCTCTAGGTTATACCAAAAAAAAAACTAATAGAAGCACACTTGTACTTCATTTAAAAAAGTAAAAAATAAAAGAGAGAGATTAGGACTTCAAAAAATCAATGTGATATATTCACAAGACATTGTTACGAAACTTTAGGTCACCACTCTAAAAGTTTACTCAAAGGATAGAAATACCAAAGCCTTATAAATTAAATTTGAACTCATCACCCCAAAAGCTAGCTAAAAGAATAAAAATATCAAAGACTTATAAACTACTCGTAACAACATTGTCACTCTCTTAAAGGGTGGTAGCCATTTTCCCTACAAGGGTGACACCTTTTTTTTTCTTTTTTGGTGAAAAAAAGTAATACCTTAATTCAGCCTATAAATAGTCTTTTCCGTGGTCTCAACAAAAGCTACGTTAATTGTTACGGATCTTGAGATTAGTACCACCTTAAAAATTAGCTCAAATAGTAAGAATGTCCAAAATCTTATATACCCCACAATATTAATCATGTGTAAAATCAATATGAAATTCGTAACACACATAGACTTCTGCAGTATAATGTCTATCATTTTCCTTTTTTATCCACCATACATGCTGTTTCTGCTGATATTGTTTCAGAAGAAAAGACATATATGGCCGCTTTTGCTACAGTTTCATCACTCTTTTAGCATTGGATTTTTGCTAAATTTATGATCAGTTAATTTTGATCGATCGAGACAACAAAAGTATGACCAAATTTCTGTTGAATTCCAGCAAATATTGTCAATATCTCGATATCTGAGTGATACCAACATATCAAAAATCAGTAGCTAGCAGAGAATTCAACAGCACCAAAAGAAGGTCCCCATCAATCTCTATACCAAACTAACGCACTAACATGTGCCGAGGTTCATATATCGAGTTATTAACGAATGATATTTGGAAATTCTATAAAATGTTCAAAATTGTGTACATTATCAATATTTCAATAAGGTTGGATGCATAGCAACATGTTAATATTGTCTCTGTCACATGCTCATACGTACGTTCACATTTCAAATTTCAGTTAGCTCTTATTTATCTGTTGCTCATCGATAAATCAAAAATTCCGAACCTCTTTATTCCGTTGTTCTCTTTTCAAACAGTACTGGAAACTAGAGTTACCTATAAAAAAATTCAGATAAGTTGATATTATATACTTTTTACTATGGGATTTGCTTCTCTCCTTTTGCAGAAAAATTGTCAAGCTTCTTGCCGACACAAAGAAACAATGGGTCCCATCATTTTATAAAAAAAAAAATAAGAAAAAAGTGAGGCACGATTTACTATGTTAGTGCAGGAAAAAAATTCACACTCCTACTACATAAGAAAAAGTTTATCCTTTCACTATTTTATATTCGTCTAGCATATGTATATCTATTCGAGATGAGAGAAGATATTAATTCGAGATGCAAACATCAATATTTTATTAACTTGCAAGATTTTTTAATTTTTTTAGGAGTTAACTTAATCTTAATTATTTCTTTGAGGTGGGTTTGCTCCCCCGTTATCTCCACAAACTTTGACTCTTTAAACCCACTAAAGACTAATCCAAAGTGCAGGGATGAAGATATTTAAATCTTCTAAAGATGATATATAGGGATCGAACCGATATCTTTTCCTTTTCAGTTATTCAACTTCTTTCTGCCAACTAAGTACCACCATTTTGGTCTTGCAGATTGTTTCTTAACATACATACTTGTGAATTCTTACTTTCATAGGAATAATATTCTACCATGATAACATTCTTTCAAATTACGTTCTCGTATAGTTAATTCGGTTTTTGATAAGTTGAAAACTTGGCCCCATCCTCTTGATATATAGATGACCTATCAGACTCATTATATTTGATTAGTATTTTGCTTAAAAATAACATTATTTCATAATTCTTTTTTTAAATTGCATCAAAAGTGTCATTCACACATTCTTCAAAGCATTGAAATTTCTTTTTCTTTATCGAAAGCAAGGACTAATTCTCTACTTTGTCTCTACTTTTTCTAACTATCTACCAATTGTGTTAGACTTTATTGGTTAGCGCTGAAATTTCTTAATCGTGTATCATTTCACTTTCAAGAGCAAAAAAGCTCTTCGGGCTCAAAATTGACATGGTTTACTTGCGTTTCAAAAACGCATACGTTCAGTTCCCATATATAAACAACTTCCGTTAACATATTTCATATTAGTCGAAGCCATTTAATAAGTTGAATATCAGATGATAATTATTAATTTGTTCAACGCTCTAATATAGAGGCTTGATCACATGAGTTATATAATTTAAATGCTAATCCTACTTGTTATGGAATATTTCCATATCCTAACCACCTACCCAAGATCCCTTAAAGGATAATTCTCCAATTATCCTAACAATATAAAACAGTAAGGCAGCTAAGGATAGAGTCTCTATCCCAACAGAAAAGAAGTTAAATCTTATTACAACTAGGAGATCTACACAAGCCCATGAGAAGTAACCCTTATAAATAAGAGGTTAAAGACCCCAGGTATACACTTTTAACCTATTTACTAATACTGCCAACATTGTGCACACACCCACGTCTTGGCTATAAGCCGATTGCTTGTGCGCAGTGATTGGGACATCGGCTATAAGCCAAGTATACATCAGTTTATACAGTATCTCTGAGCGCATACCATACGGTATAGCAATATGGTCTTTCCAGGACCGAACATTGGCGCCGTCTGTGGGAAACGGCAAATTTCGACTCCCATCCATGGTGAACAAGTGTGCCGTATAGCACAAAGCCACATATTGCAGGCTAACTCGTGCACCCTGAAATTGTTGAAGCCACACACACACAGACACACACACATACACACATATATATATATATAAGGAGACAAACCCTACCGCAAAAAGGGCTTTTGATCCTCCGAGAAACTCTAGAATGGAGCTCTAGATCCAAGCAGATGATGATTTGACAGAGATTCTCGTCGTCGCACTTCAAATTTTATAGCTCGGCCTCAGCCTTGAGCTCAGCCCAATTAAGGGTTTCAAGTTTAAAAGTTCGGCCTCAGCCTTGAGCTCCAAATCAGCCCAGTTAAGGGCTTCAAATTTATTAGCTCGGTCTCGGCCTTGAGCTCAGCCCAATTAAGGGCTTCAGATTTAATAGCTCGGCCTCGGCCTTGAGCTCAGACCAACGAAAGGCTTCATGTTTAATAGCTCGGCCTCAGCCTTGAGCTCAGTCCAGTGAAGGACTTCAAGTTTAATAGCTCGACCTCGGCCTTGAGCTTCAACTCAGCCCAAAGAAGGGATTCAAATTTATTAGCTCGGCCTCGACCTTGAGCTCAGCCCATTAAAGGGCTTCAAGATTAAAGCTCGGCATTAGCCTTGAGCTTCAACTCAGCCCAGTTAAGGGCTTCAAATTTATTAGCTCAGCCTCAGCCTTGAGCTCAACCCAGCGAAG